AAAGAAAAGTTGAGGGAAAGAGGAAATGGAGTTTTAGTTTTTTTATTTTTTAAATGATTGAATTTGAGTACTTATTTTTTAAATTAATAGATTTTCGCGTTACTTTAATCAAAATTTGAGAATATCTATATATTTTATCTTAAAATTTATATGGAAATTACCTTTTTAAATTTGAGAAAGGAATGTATAAAGACACATAGGGATGGAAGGAAAATAAAAGCTTTTTTATTCATATATATTTGAAAACATGTTGCAAATATTTGGCGCCAAAATAACGAGCTTCCCAAAATTTGTTCAAATTACCCAAAATACCCTCGTTACCGATTGTTTATCTTCCCCAACACGGCTCAAAAATGGAACCTAAAAAAAAAGACGGCAGGAAAAGAAAGAGAAATGGCGCCAAGGAAATGCTCTTCGTCTCTCGCTCCAATCCTAGTCGGTAAAATCAGTTCCATTATTTGTAAAGATTCTAAACCCTAATTTAATCATTTTTTTAAAAAAAATTATTTAATTTTCCATTTTACAGGTAATTGCGAGGTTTTGATTGATGCGAACAAGTACAGTTGCAACTCTGATTCCAACAGCCTCCAAATCTCTATTTCGAAGTACACAAATATTAAAATCTCGGGTACTGCTTACAGTTGCGAGGTTTTTTTTTCCTTGTATTTGTTTAAACTAGTTCGAATTTGTACACATTAAAATAATACTAAAATATCTTACCATTCACTGGTTTCTAGGGCATTTTTGATTGGAAATGTGATGATTTTTTGTTTGAAAAAAAATGAAGAATCTACTTTTTGATCTTTCTAAATTTTAGGCCTCATTTGATTATTGTTTTTGCCCTTTGAAAAAATTGTTAAAACACAAAAGCAAATGAGAGAAAAATAAATTTGTAATTAACTGAAGCCTGAAAGTGAAAAATTACCATAATACAACTCTATTTTTAATATAATCATTCAATATAAAAGAGTAAAAACTAGTTTGAATGTGCATTTAACTGAAAACTTGGAGAAACTCAAAATATTTAAATGTTTAATTTCCTTTGTATTAGTTTCTTTGTTATTTACTTCCTTAGCCATTATTATTTTTTGAGCTTGTTTGGTTTACTGTTGTTTTAGTGAGGGAAGAGATGAATGCAAAGTCTGGTAATGACCTTTTGCCCTCAAAATCTGAAGGAAAAGGTTAGATGACCTTTTTGCTGAGTTTAGTTTTTAATTCTTCTATCATAAGTTTTGTTGGTGCCTGTTCCCTTGGAATTTTCTGGAATTTTATGAAATTAAATTGATGTCTTATCTTGTATTTGAACTTGTGCTAATATAGGTGAGGAAGGTAGATGTTCCGCTGTCAAAAATAAATATATGTTTGTGCTTGTTAATCCTAAAGATGTTGATGGTGCTACAAAATCTTATCTTCAGGTATGTGTGTGTGTGTGTATTCTAGATCTCTCTTTGTGTACGTGCATGTGTGTGTGACTCTGTTTTCAAGAATGATTGTTTCCTTTTACCATCTGCATTGGAGATTTTCACAATAAAAGATTGTCCTTGTTTTTAATTGAGTATCCCCGGTGCTCCTCTTGATTTTCGGATGTTTCTTGCTATACCTTTTGTTATGCAATCTAATAACTTGTCTTGAGCATAAATGGTTTTACAGGAAGCGCTGAAGTTATACAATGGGGAGTTACCGACAATGAATTATGCTGCAAATACCGGAAAGCAGTCTATGTTTCTTGAAAGATGTTTGTCAAATGGGTATCATACAATTTTATTCTTGTTCTTATTTTAATTAATTCCTTTACTTAGTGCAAAAAGTTTTTAGTTGATCTGATGATTAGCATTAGTTTGTAGAATATGGATTCACTATTGCCAAAAAGGCATCATTGTGGTAGTAATTACAAATTCAAGGAAGCTTTTAATTATAATGATTTTTTTGCTGCAGGAAATACTGCACATTGCTTCTGAAGTATAAGCCTGTTGAAGAGCTTGAGGAGGTAGACTTACTGCAATTTATGTTTTCTCTTTCTTTATTACATTATAAAAGCTTCATTCTTCATTTCCTTTGCAGTTTCATAACTGTAATGTTATTTAAGAATTGTCCTTTTATGTTACCTTTTACCATGTGCTAAGCAAATCTGAAAGGTGCATTTTACTAGAGAATATAGCTAAATGTATGGTCTAATTTTTTAATTTCTTTGTCTTTCCCCTGGGCCATGTGTTTTCCTTCTCAAGTCTAAGCACACCAGTAAATTACTATGAAGGAGTTCAATGTTTATAACAAGTTTATTGCTGGTTGCATTTTTTTATTGCAGTGCATACATCAATGCAAATTCAAGAGAGCAATGTGAGATTTTTTTTTCCCAGTTATTTGTTATAATCTTTCTCATGGTCCTTATGCAGGTTATAGCGGCAATCACTTATCAAATCATCCCTGCTGACACACAGTTTGCGGAGATCCCTCTTGCTGCTGTTAGTTCAATCTATCAGCATAAGGTTCATTGTCTTCCTAGATGTTTTCCACTTACTAGTTTGTTGCTTGCTATTGTTCAAAATACCATTAAGTTCAGGACTTCTTGAGGAATGGACTTACACTGTATCTAACAACACTGGGGATAGATTTTTTCAAATTATGATAATTTAAGGCCTCTTCATATGCTCCAATAATCTTTTCTATATAATGGAAAACGCAAAGCAACTCATCAATTATGAAAAACTAATTGGGACTATAAAAACTGAAAATATAGTTTTATATAATGGAACTTCTCTTGATTGAAGATTTTTTTTAAATCTGCTAAAATTTCAAAACTTATTGAATGCTGCTCATATACATTAAATTTGATTTTGTTTTATTAATTTTATTGACTGTCTTGTACTGTTGGATGCTAGTTTGGGTGTTTCATGTTAAAAGTTAAGTGGCTTATTTCAATAATATCAGGGTTTTGGTCGCTTCTTGTATATGGAATTGAAGAAGAGACTTCAGAGTGTTGGCATTCGCACGATATTATGTTGGGGTGACAAGGAATCTGAAGGTTTTTGGCTTAAACAGGTAATGCATGGATGGAACCTATTATAATTGGCTGACCTCTTCTTATGTTATTCTGAATGTAAACAGCAATATGTTTTGCAAAGAAAATCTTGTTTCTTTTACCTATTTTACATCACCACAGAAAGGTAGGCCCTGTAAATCATGTTCAACTTTTTTCTTTAGTTTCTTAAAGATGCATAATTATATCTTAATTTAGTCATTTATGCTTGAGAAGCTTATTACCTTTTTTGATGTTTGACTTTTGAGAAAATTCAAAATTGTAGGGCTTTGTGTCAATTGCAGAAGTGGACAAAAAGGGTAGAGCTCGGAGGCTTCCTATTAAGGCTGATATACGTAAAGCACTATGCTTTCCTGGAGGTTCAACCCTTATGGTTTCTCATCTTAGTAAACATGCTTCAGCTGCAGGAGAATATCTGAGCTTTTCTCATCCACTAAAGCTTTATGAGAAGTCTCAATCCTCAGCGCCTGATAAATCTTTAGGTCAAAAAGCAGCCAATGTTGCTGCCAAGCAGTGTTCTTGTTCCTCCCAAGGTGCAAAGAGGAAGGTTTGGGAAGCCTCATTGTCCTCTTTGAAGACAAAAAAAGTGAAGGGAACTCATCAACTTGACAGTCATCAAAACGGCTGTCAGTTAGATTCGAACAGGCAGATAATCCCAGATAGTGACAGATATGGTTCTTGGCTTGATGGGTGCTCTGTTTCAACAGATAAATCATTGGTGGAAGTTATTCCTGGAATTTCTTTGATAAATAATTCCATGGAAAGTGAGACTCAAGAAGGTAGACCAAATTGTATGACACCAGAAGCACTAGCCACTAAAGAACTTCTATCAAATAGAGATTGCTTTAGAATTATGTTGATGAATATTGCTGATGATACAAAGAAAACACATCTCACAAAGGTATGTTCACTTCATTTATTTTTGTTTGATGTGAATAAAACATGCATGCATATAACAACAAACTGAGCACTTCCCTACTCTGTGGGAGGGGCTGATCATATATGGGTTATATTTCCCAAAACGCTAGTGTCATTTAGCATTCTTTTGATCACCTTTTCGCATGATTTCATCCTATGACTCACCAACTAGTGTTTTTGCAATGAAACAGCACTTATAAGTTTACCCTTCTAGCATGTTTCCTTCATTAAGTTATAGAAATTTGCTCAAAACCAAGTCAATGCTCTAGCTGCTGAAGGAGGGAAAAGCCTTCCTACACCTAAATGATCTTCCATTTCTTCTTTGAGAAAGATGCTGAGCCTTGCATTCTCTTCAATCAAAGGCCTACACAAGCGCACCTTATGCATGTGTAGGTATCTTTCTCAATTCAGATATTGGTGGTTTAATATGTTAGTTAATAGAGCAAGCTTTTTCCTGGAATAATCTGGCCACATGTTTAGTGATTGCTCTTTAAAATTTATACATCAATGTGAACATATATCTCTTTGTAGCTATGACCTTCCTTTTAGACCTTTTCTGTAGCTTTTTTTATGTGAGAGATTGTAACTTACAGAACTTTCTCTAGTCGTTTTTAGAAAGAATTCTTTTAGTTCAAAGGAAGGTCCTCAAAACTGCACAAAGGTGTGACCTTACCTGGCTTTATAAATCGTTTACAAAACCAAATTCCAGGATAAAGCTCTTGGAGAAAATTTGCCAATAGCTCTTTTTTGGGGCTACTGGTAGGAATAAAGATTACTTTTCCTCGGGATGATTCTATGGAAGCCTGGCTGACTTTCTAAGTAGTGAGTCTAATGTATTACAAAATTACGTATAAAGTAGCTGAAATTATGCCAAAAGTCATCTACTCCATTTTCTTCAGTTTTTAAAGAACTTTTCACAAATCTTAATTACTTTCCACAGGAAAATGTATGGATATAGTTGTTTGGTTAAGTTTTCACACCCTGCAAGTTCTGTTTGATTAACTCCTGTTTGTTTTGCATTACATTGGTTACACATTTTCTCCTAGTGGATTTTGAAGTATTGGAGACTATTGACTCATTTATGTGTTTGGCTTAGGTTTTACATTAGCTTGCTCGAAATGTTGATGTTAGGGTTTTAGCTTCAATTTCTTTTATCACAGTACTTCATCATGCTACTTGATTTAGACGTATATTTGTTAAGCATTATATTTTTTTGAGGTAGGTAATTGAAAACCTTGGTGGCGCTCCAACCTCTGAGGGAAGGATAAGCACACATATTGTAACAGGAAAAGTGAGAAAAACACTGAATTTCTGCACTGCTTTCTGTTCAGGGTTAGTCTTAATTTGACAGGCAAAATGATAAGATGTTGAATTCCTTTGGCTTTACTTTGATGGATGATGTGAATGTATCATGTTATATGTCCATGTTTTTGCAACCAGTTAGCATCATTGCACATTTTAACTTGTAAATTTTTGTACCTTCTCCCCCTTAATTATTTCCCACATCCAGGAGTGAAGAAATCATAAAATCTGTATGTGTCATGGACTTGAATGTGAAATGGCTTTAAGATTCTTTTTCTTGCCATTTTGTTTGGAGATTCCATTTTGTCTATATGTTAAAATGAGATTTTACAGTCATTTTCATGGTTGACATTTTTTTCCTTTCTTTTGTTACTATGGCATTCATATTAACAAATTTTTGTGATCCTATGGTGCTTTCTTAATTTAAGGATAGTATCAGAACTGATAGTTGGATATCTGTTGTGTGTGGGATATTATCCAAAAATTTTCTTATAGTTCTAATATTTTCTTTTCATCCCAAGGTTTAAGAAGCTATATTCTCTTATTGACCTTTTATCTGGTGAACATTGTGTGCAATTCCCATCGGTTTACCATGTAACACTCTTGAGGCTGAATATAGACTTTTCTCAGGTACATCAATGTTAGCATCCTACTAATAGCATAACTAACAAAGTTGTTAAAATACATGCATGATTAATAAGTCATGAAGGAGAGCTGAAAGGTCGATCTGCATGCCATAAAGCCTTAGGGGTCATAGTTCATACGCATTGTAGAAATCATTATTATTCCTGGAAAGATGGCAATTTCCACTTTAACCCCTAAAATTTATATGATGATCACCTTTAATAGTACAAATTTGGTTTTTTGCTCACAGTTTTAGTCATTGTAAAACTCCTTGCTTTATATCCTGCATGTTTTAGCATGGATGCCTCAGTTTGCACCAGCACACGAAAGGTATTTCATATGTGTTATAGATTCACTCGATAGATTTGACCTAATGCAGGGCTTGGATAGTTTCACCGAGTTGGTTAAAAGAAAGCTTTAGGGAAGGAAAATTTGTGGGTGAGTTGAAAAGAATATATAGATTTTGAGTACTTATTACCCAATGAATTGTTATTGAAATCTTTTAACTTTCCCTCTTACCTTACAGATGAATTGCCTTATATATTACACGATGAAGATTATGTATTGAAGTACAGAACTGAGCTAAAAGATTCAATTTTTCGTGCAAAAGCAAGGCCTGGAGCTCTGCTTAAAGGATATAACTTATGCATAGCAGCTCATGTTCAACCCCCTGTCACAACTCTGTCTGCCATCATCAAGTCTGCTGGTGGAAATGTAAGCTCTAGACATCTTGTCA